ATCTCCCGACATGGCGACACAATCGTCGCCGCCACCCTGTCATCACACCCAGAGCGAGGGACCCTCGGCATCGGGCGTCACGCTCGGGCATGGTACGTCCTGTAGGATCCACGGGGCCGGGGATGAAGCAGTGGCATCACTCGCCGAGCAGCGCTACCCAAATGAAACAGGGGCGACGGTCACAAACTGGGAAACGGGAGGTTCAACCTAAATATTTTTTTTACTGTGAGGGTGACAGAGCTGCCCGGAGAGGCTGTGGGGTCTTCATCTCCAAAGACATTCAAAACCCACCTGGACATGCTCCTGCGTGACCTGCTCTGGCAGGGGTTTGGACTAGACGATCTCCAGAGGTCCCTTCCAACCCCAATCATTCATGATTTTATGTGAAATATAAAAGAACCAAGGTTTTTATAAAGCTGGTGCAACATCACAGCTGACTATAGGATGTTGCTGCTGACAGAAGTCACAGCCCAGAGCAACTTCAGGTGGTATTTGCATGGGACCAGGCTGGGGCCGCAGAGATTTCTGCAGAACTAATTGTTCAATCGGCAGGTTTTGAGTAAAGGGATCGATGCTGCTGAATAAAACTAGGAATTTTTTTTGATTGAAAGAGAAACTGCAAATAGATCCAAACTACGTACTGAACAAGGCCCTAGAAACAAGCCAAACGAGTAACCCCATTTTCAAACACAAACCTACTCCCTGCACAGAGGGTAGGAGAGGACAAGTGTGGTACATGCCACGAACTGGGATCTCCATTCTACAGAAGGATGTGCTTCAAAGTAACCTTTCCCCTCCCGCCTGTCACAAAGAGAGGCAGAGGCCAAGCTCTCCCCAAGAAAGGTGTCTTGAGACCACATTTTCCCTCCTGAGAGACAGTACAGAGGGAATGAGAAGTTTCATTCCCAATTCTTAAAACAATTTTCTGAGTTAAGAAACCAGGTGGAGAGAAACACAGAAGAAAACTCAGCAGAGTGCGATGCTGACTTACTGGAAAGGAGATCTGGAGGCGCTGCTGCTGCTGCTTAGGCTTGTACAGAACCAGAAGGGAGGGAATTTCCCATCATTTCACATGGTACGGGGCAACAGGAAGAATGGCTGTTGCCAATCCTTTTACAGCAGAACAGTTTACTGGAGTCTATCCCCAACAGCCTGGCCACCTGTCCCTTCCTTACATAGATGTTCAGGATTTTGTAACTTCAGACTGCACTCATTTAGGCAATTCTAGATCCCCAATTACAGAAAACTCCCATCCCAGTCTTTGTCTGCTATGAGCCCACCCCCCCAGAGACACAAATTGCCAAGATTAAGTCAACAGCAACATCCATTTTAAAAAACAATCACAAAAAAAAACCCTGATTGCTCTCTACATCACATGCTTTCCCCAATTCCAATACAGGGCGAGATTCCCATGGACAAAACACGATCCAGTCAGGTTCTTGACTCTGATTTCTGACACAGTTCCCTGTACACTTCATAAGTGAATCTTTTTCCTGCTCCTTGCTCTTCTCCCCAGGAGGAAAGGAACACCAAAGGTTAACCCTCCAGGCGCAGAAACAGAGATGCAGGCACTGTCTACACACCAGTCTCATTTCTTTCGCCATTTTTGACATTAGGATCCTCTTGCACCTTTCTCATCTCCAGCCCTTTCACCCACGTGTACGCAAAGGAGCCCCCCAGAACCATCAAGTTACTCGTCCACCACAAGAAGCTCTTTGTCTCCTCAAAGTAGATAACAGCCAGCACTGTCTGGGCACAGGCCTTGGCTGTCCCAGACACGTTGTGTGTGAGCGGGCTAGTGAACTTAATCTGAAGTCCAGTCACGTACCCAATGGCAAAGCCAAACACTCCCCCCAGGGTCATCATGCCCCAAAAACTGGGGTTTCCCAGCTTATCAAAGTGGTAGAGGGTGTGGAACTCGCCCAGCAGCATCATGAGAGGGAAGAACAGGACACAAGCGTTGACGTTGTTGTAGAAGGTCAGGCGCCAGATGCTACCATCCACCACAGGCAGCACCTTCTTGGTGTAGATGGCATTGAGCGAGACACACAGGCTTGCTAAGATCCCAAAGAATATACCTGTCCAGGACAGAGTGCCCTCTGCTCCTTCTTGGTCGACACCCAGCCAGAAGCCACCTGCAAGCAAACAAATGAGATGTCACCTGAACAACTGCTGAAGGACTCAAAACATACAGTCAGCAGTTCATCATCTACCTCGCACTGAACAATCACAACTGCAGAGACAGGCACAAGGGCTCCCTCTTTCTATTAAGTGAACCCACAGTGTTACAACTAGTGTCCTGGAAAGATTTATTTTTGGAGAGCAGTTAGTCTCAGAAGACTGATTCTCATACTGAGCAGGCAATACCAGTTTAGAAACTATTATTCCAAAGAGCCATGAACTAAAGTTAAAGCTACGCTTCGTGTAGAGGTCATTTCAGGAAATCACACAATTTCCTTAACTGAAAAGGCAGAAAACTGACACAACGGTAATGTCAAGAAATACTCCTCAAGGTTTAAAGGGGGGGGAAAGGTTCACAGGCTTCGCTGCACTAACAGGAAGGGAAAGATAGGTCAGGAAAGAAGGTAAAAGACAATAAGCATCTTGATAAAAAAAAATAAATTATAAAGCAGAAACTGAGGGCAGTATCTTCAACATGCTAAACTTTGGTAATGCACTCTTTAACCACTGCCAAACAGGAGCTACAGGCTTTGTGTCTCCAGGGCAGAAAGGGAGACCTCTCCCTATCTAGCTTGTGAGCAACACATAGAAGGGGAGATGAGCTGCTGAAGGAGCACTGCACCTCGCTTCCATTAGCTGCCTCATGTTGGAGGCCGTCTGGGAAGTTCTCCGCTTTAAGTGAGCCCAAATACAAATGGGTTCAATGAACAGGCAGGAAGGGCTTTGCGTCAGGCCACAGAGGATGCGTAGCTGTGCTTCTACAGGCACACGGGCAATGGCCTTACAGCAAAAGGAGACGGAGCCAAGAGGACAGTCTTGGAGAAACCTTATACAGCTGGTAGACGCCAGAGTCCTGGACAATATCTAAACATAAGCCGAGCTGAAGGCAATTGCTTGCATCACTTGGGTAGGAAAAAAACCCCAACGGTTTTGTTCCTGTTCACACCCTGTGGTCTCATTTTGATTGGAGTCAACATTTCACCATTCTTGGCATCTGAATATCCCTCCAGAGAAAGGCAGCTTTTGGCATTACCGTTGCCTTTGGAAGGAAAGACTTTAAGCAATTCCCATGAAGCCAGTCAATGCCCGGCCCTACATCCTAACCACACAACCAGATTTTCTGGTGGCGTTTTACGCTTGGCTTGATCAGCTAAGCCTTCATGACACGCATTGAGCCTGTCTGAATTGGCTGGCTCCATTGTGTGGTCCCAATGGCTCTGTCTTAAATGCAGCTATTGTTACCGAAGTTAATAATCGACAAACACTTGACAACAGTGGAAGAAACACACCTGCTGCCTTTGTTTGGGTGGGGAAAAAAAAAGCTAAAGCAAGTTCATGAGAGAGTAGATAGGCTTTAGTGCTCAGATGAAAAAGGGAGCCATGGCCAGGTAAGAGTAATTCCCGTTTTTAAGGAGCTACCTACATGCTCCAGACATAAAAAGTGCATTGCTGGAGGCAGAGCAAGGCACGAGCCCTGAGCGAGCCCACCTCGCCAGGGAGGGATGGCTTCCCAAGGGGACAGACAACCCCAGTTCTGCCACTCCACGGTTATGGGGCCGGCCGCAGCCGGGGCGACAGGTGCAGCCCCCTCCTGCTCCCCCTCACCTATGATGACTCCGCAGGCCAGGAGGGCGTAGAGCGAGGTGGTCTGCTTGAGCAGCAGGTAGGAGAGCAGCACGTTGAAGACGGTGGTGAGGGAGCGCCCCACGTTGTAGAAGGCGACGCCGACATACTTGAGGCAGAGGTTGTTGGAGGTGACCATGCCGATGAAGACGGCGGAGAGGGGCAGGACGCTGCGCGACACCTTGGGGTCGAGGCGGAGGGCGGGCAGGCCGG